ATGGGAAGTTAGTGTCCGAGTGGATCGAAGTACGATAGCTCAAAGGTTAGAGCAGCGGCGTATTTACCCAAAGGTCGTGGGTTCGAATCCCGCTCGTGACACTGACTTTTTCATTTCAACCAATACTTTACATAAAGATTAATTAATTGGAATAAAGAAAAACGTCATTCATTGTATCTGTTTGATATTTTTATTTGGAAAACTAATCTCTATTCTTTCTATACACTGAACCAAAGAGAAAGATAATCTTCAAATATATAAAATTTTATAAATACTATAATATTTTTCATTAAAATAATGAGTTTTTGCATGATATACAACATAAAATTGAATATATTTCATAATAATCCATGTTTGAATATATTTTTTTTCTTTCGAAAAGGTAGATCGGGGTTGAGGCCAGGAAGACAGAAACGTTTATTTTCTTGTCGAGCTTTCGGCAGAATATATCGCCTTCATCAGGGCTCTGTATTAACAAATTAACATAAGTAAATTTTCAAATATACAATTTTTAAAATTTTCCCTAATTACTAACTCGAAAAAAATCGTTATACTATATGAACAGGTACATGTGTGGATAACAGATAGCCGGTAGAACCCACCTTCGATAAACGAAGGTAATAAATATTACTAAACGCGACAGTATTGCCAACCGGCTCAATCTTCAATCTATAAAAAATTCCCTAACATTTTGGTATCAAATATCACAAATTATACAATTAAAAGAAAACCATTAATTAATTTGAAACGATCCTAAAATAAATTAATTATCACATATAAACATTCAGGCACATATTATACTATTAAAGCTGTTGGTTAAGGATAGAACTATAAATTACACTTAAGTTTGATATATCTGTTCTAAGGTTACACGAATTACCATCTTTATGAATGTATACCATCTCTTTAATCAATCTTCTACCTAAAAATTGTTCTTTATCCATAACAGAAACATTGTTAAAATCAAACGTGTGGTTATATTTTTGATTGTGTTGGGAAAGCGCAGTCCCTTGCTTATCTACATCTCTAACGTTGTTCGCGCCAAAAATCGCGAATTAGAATTGTTTATTTTGTTTCCGAAATGCCGCTAATCTAGAATTTATCCTAGCTCTGTTCCCTCCCAACAATCCTGTCCTGTTGCTGCCTAGTCCAGCTCTAGTCCTGTTCGCTTCCGTCTCGCTTCCATACAGTCCATTATTAATTAGTCTTCAAGAGTGATTTTCTTTTAGTTTTTTTTCAGTTTTTCTCTTATTTTCAAGAAGCATTTTTTTTCTTTGGTTTTGTTAATTATCGCGTTCAAAATAACGCGAGTGTCTCCTCCCGCATCCTTAATGCGACACATCATACAGGGTTCGGACGGAGCCCCGAAGGTAATTAATAGACTAGGATTCTGTTTTACCTTTGGCCAGAGTTATTGCAGGTTCTAGCTATTAAACAGCTCTACTCCCTGGTTGTCAAGAAAATCAAGCCACAATTAACAAGTTAGTATTTTATTTTATTTGGTATTTTTATTTAATTTAATTTTATTTTTATGGCGACCGACCAGCGCGTGCACAAACGTCGTAGGCGTGTTGTCTATATCTATTTTTCAATAATTGTTTAGTTTGACCATGATACACAGCACTAAATTCGTTACAACACAATTTATACACAACATTGCTACACAGTAGTGTTGGCACTTTTGATTTCAATTTTGAAAAAAATATATTTCCCAAATTGTTCTTATATTTTAAAGCTATCACAGTCGGTATATCACAGTTTGCAGTTCTATTTCTGACCATGGCAGAGAGCTTGTTAGTAATGCCCTTCACATATGTAATACCTCTGTATAATTTAACTGTATTGTTAACAGGTACTACAATTTCATTACTTTCATTCTTATATGTTAAAATTCTATCATTAATTAATTTATTTACAAGAGAGGTAGGATATTGATTTTTAACTAAAATATCTTTAACTAATGCTTTACATTCATAGTGGAATTGAGGGGAGCTAAGTTTAAAAATTCTACCGGTAAGGAGTATATCACATTTATTTTCAATTTAAAAGAGTGGAGGGAGTTATAATTTAGATTAAATAAATATTGTTTCTGTCTTCCTGGCCTCATCTTCGATCTACCTTTTGGAAAGAAAAAAAAAATTTTAACTGAGAAGGCTGATCAATCAACAAAGAAAATATTAATCCATGTATGTTTTAGTGGTCAATTGACCAAGTTACTTCTTTCAATTAATTATTTTTTTTATGTAAGGTTTTGGTTAAGATAAAAAAAGTCAGTGTCACGGGCGGAATTTTCATCTCAACCAAAATCTTACATAAAAAGAATAAATATTTCATAATCTTGCACCATATTTTAATTTGGATGTTATGAAGATAATAATGACCTTATAATAGTAGTGAAAAAATAAATATTGAACTCAAAATGACTACAATAAATAAAGTCTGTTTACTTCGAGAATTTTTAGGCTTCACGAGAGTCTGAATTGTAGATCATCCTAACACAACTCAGAACCGCGGTTATGTGACGGTCAATGTGTCCCTCTTAATTAATGGATTCATTCCTAGGCTCCTTATAAAGAGTGAATAGGAATGTCACCCAATATGAAAATTGAGCTTTAGTACTGCAACGGTCATTGGATGTCTTAAGCCAATTATTGGAGGCAACATGTGAATTTTTTTATATATTCATACTTTTGAAGTATTTAGTAGTGTGGAATATATCCAAAACGTTCTTATTTATAAGAAATTAAGTGCCTGCGTAGAGGCCACTTTTCTGAAAGCTCTAAATCTGATAGTAACCAAGAGAGTCATACTTAAACTTTATTAAAAACCTTTAAAAACTGGTAAAATGAATCGTCTAATTGATTATATATATTACAATTAATTAAGATTTTTAGTTGAGATAAAAAAGTCAATGGCACGAGCGGGATTCGAACCCACTATCTTCGGCTAGATACGCAGCTGCTTGGCTAGATAACAGCTTTAGTGAAGTATACTTCATTTAAATTCATTAAATTCACTAATTTCGTGGTCCTCTTGACCAATTAATATATTATAATTAATTAAGGTTTTTAGTTGAGATAAAAAAGGAGGGAAAATTCAAAAGGTGCGGTTGAAATGGGAAGTTAGTGTACAAGTGGATCGAGGTCACGATAGCTCAAGTGGTAGAGCAGCGGCGTATCTAGCCGAAGATCGTGGGTTCGAATCCCGCTCGTGCCATTGACTTTTTATCTCAACTAAGACCCTTAATTAATTGTAATATATTAATTGGTCAAGCGGACCAAGAAATTAGTGAATTTAATGATTTAAAATGAAGTATACTTCACTAAAGCTCTCCGTGGCCATTTCATTTGTCGTCAAGAATCCAATCCGATTACACGACATTTGAAAAATGGCAAAAAGGAGGGAAAATTCAAAAGTGGGGGTTGAGATGGGAAGTTAGTGTCCGAGTGGTTCGAGGTCACGATAGCTCAAGTGGTAGAGCAGCGGCGTATCTAGCCGAAGATCGTGGGTTCGAATCCCGCTCGTGCCATTGACTTTTTTATCTTAACTAAAAACCTTTACTAATTGTAATATATTAATGGTCAAGCGGACCACGAAATTAGTGAATTATATTATTGTTTACTTAATTTACAATAAGACGAATGAATCTCATAAATCATAACATTTTATGATATACGAAAAATTTATGGATTAAAGTTTTGAAAGTTTAAAGCAATCTAAAAATTGAAATATCTGGGATGCAATTGAAAATAGGATAACCTCATGAAATATTGACGTCTGTTCTCAGATCATCATATAGAGAAAAAGTTTGGTAATCTACTTTGTGTTACCCTTTTGCTGAGAATATAAGCATCAATGTGTATCCAGTACAGCGGAATATTAAGTACTCCATCGTCTCTCAATTAACGTAGATTATGTACAATATTTTATATGAGTAAAACAAAAATGAGCCTTATCTAGTATCCATCATCTTACTTGAGTGAAAACTATGCAAATAAAAAGACTTTTTTTTAAATGATGGCATAATAAGTGTGTTAAATGAAATTATATGCTTTGGGGTGGCTGAATTGACCTTGTTGTAGAAAGCACTTTATTAAACCTATAAAACCTAGAAATGCTTGATGACTTTCCCAATTTTTTCTCAATAAATACTCTTCTGACGTGTAGCAATAATTATTTTTGGCATGTTTATCAAATGGACAAATGGCATTCAAGTATCTATAACCTACAACACTGCTGCACTTTTTCGACTGGCTCTCTCTGACGTTAACACTAGCGAATATTTGGTTCTACGGTGGTGGAACAACTACAAACTGCAATTATCCTTACATGATTCTGTTAAGTACGGAATTGTGTAATGTAAATCTAAGTTTGAGCCAAAACTAATGAGTTTATAGCATAAACGTTAAGTGCGCTAATCGAATTACCAGCTAAGTTTCACGCCACATTGAAACAAAACTAAAAAATAGTACTTTTAATATTCGCTCAGCGAGTAGTTTCATGAAACTATCCCAGCTTGCGCGCATGATTACTAGTTGAAGTCGACAAAACATATCACATATTTTCATAGTACATATGATCAATGTTTTTAAAAAACACGAAAACAATAATATTTTCTTTCCTGAAATCTTATAGTTTGAATATAAAAATGGCTATTTGTAAAGTAAAACACTATTTGTAAAACTATCATCTTGTTTCCAAAAGATACGAAACGTAATTCTAGTATAAACAATTGCAAAAAAAAGTAAAACAAATGAAACTACTTTTACTCAATATCATTTATTACAATATAGCATTCAGTAGAGTACAATTTTCATTTAAAATATTCTATGTAATTTGTTTTAATTTCTTGTAAAAAGTGAGTTACCAATTGCAAAATATGTGTGAGAAGGAACAAAAAATGTAACAATAACACAATTATGAACTACCAATTATTTTTAATTTGAATGAGATTTTAAATAGTAAAAACACACAAAAATAAATTATCTGTGTGACACATTTGAATAATTTTGTAAAAATCATCTTGTTGGCAAAACAGTTCCTGATTATTTTTTAGAGTTCATAATTATGTCAATAAAAAATTGTACATACATATTTCATCCCTTATCACTGTAATTGTTATCCACTTCACAGTGATATTGGTAACCCATTTTTTAAGTCTGAAACAGAAAAGAACAAATTATTTCTATAATACTTTTTTGTTCAATAATTTAATCATCATAAAATTTAGACAAACCAAACTGGAAAGCAACTGTCTTTTATTTATAATTATTTATTTTCCTTTACTAAATATATTGCTAATATATTTGTGCGGTCATAATTTTATAGAATATGAAATTTAAATATATGTTTTGATTAAAAAATAAAAACTATTTGAGTGATGAAATGTATGAGTTATAATATGGAATAATTCAGCTAAAAATAACTCAGTTCTTATTTCACATAATTCCAGAAAAGTGGTACTCTCACTCTCCACATTGTTTTGTTTGGAATAGACAAAAATTTTACACAAAATTTTTTGAATTTTACTTAATATTCATTTATTACATGTTTTAGATTTTGATGGAATACAGATGGAGTTGGATTCTTGCAGTACTATACATAATATCGTAATATTGTACAACATTTAGTCTTACAAGTATTTAAATGTAATAAAAATTTCTATATTGTGATTATGGTAGTATTATATTAACAGAATAGTAGCAATAATGGCTATATTGATTACAATAATATAACCAAAATATCAATTGTAGCGATAATATCGCAAGAAGTAATTAGGAGTAATCATATTAATTAATAATTGATACTAATAATACTTGTTGACATAAATTTAGTGGGCTGAACTAAAGTAATGAATAATCGAACTGGTTAATGGAACGGAAATACACATAAAATTAGACGATTAATATTCTATGACGGCAATTAATCATAACTAAATGCACACATTTGTGTATTATAATTTTTATGCAATAAAGTATTTTCCCTTACACAAAGTATGTATGTTCAAGTAATGTGATATCTAAAACGAAGATGGCTTTTTTGTTTGATCTGGTAATGGCTGATCGATTAAATTAAGATGGTGTGACACTAAAAAGTGGTCTGATTCGTGAGAAATGTCAACAGGAAAAACATCGCTGATCGGCAGTGAGCGGTAGTTAACCAAAACCAGGTCAATTACACTTGAAGTTAGTAGGAGAATCATAGGAAGATTTGCCTTTCAGTAACAAAAATCTATTTTCTTACAAAAACTTAGCCATTCTTCACAATAGGGTACAATGTCATTTTTCCGTCAGGAACAGGTAATAACAGCCACTAGGTAATTCTTTATGTTAGCCAATATCAGTTGGAATATAATAAAGCATATTAGATGAAGAAGTTTTTGTAAAATTGGACAAGTTGTAGGTATTTTTTTGTAACCTCAGTAGAACGTACAATCATGTCCAAAATTGTAAATTTTGTAATTTTGACATGCTCCAACTGATATTGGCTAAAATTTTATGTCATTCAGATTATTGCAAAGAAGTATCTTACAGCAAATTTAGCGTTCTTTCAAATGGTGTAATTGGATTTGTTGTAGTCTCAACATTTTGAAAGTTGTAAGCGTTTTTATGTGGTAAGGTAGTGAAAAGTTGAAAAAACTTAATGACGAATATCTTCAAAATAGAGAACTTTCCGAAAATTTACTCCTGAGAATTTTTTGCTCCAAACGAAGAGTAGAATCGATTATTGATTCCCTCAGTTTGGTCAGAAAGAACTGGGACACCCTGTAAATGTGTGTGTGTGTGTGTGTGTGTGTGTGTGTGTGTGTGTGTGTGTGTGTGTGTGTGTGCGAATTTCTTGTATGTGGCAAACGTGAGAAAACATTTCTGAAATTTCAACCCGACTCGGTTCCCAACACAATTTTCTTTTATACCATAGCAAAAAAAATTTATATATCAATCGGTGCAAAGTCGACCATCTTTTATTAACTGCACCAGTGCTAATAAAAATGACATCAAAATGTACAAAACGACACCATGATGAGCAGAGAAAAATCAATCGTGTTTTCAATACAACAAATAACATAAGCTGTAACACAGAGAAAGGCCAAGAAATAAAGGGAAAGAGAGCATATACATATAAAATGTTTAGAACACATACAGTTTAGTAAAGAGAGATAGAATGATAGAGAGAGAGAGAGAGAGAGAGAGAGAGAGAGAGAAAGAGAGAGAGTAAGTGGACGTGAGAGAGAGAGAATGTGAGGGAGAGAGGGTAAGTGGACGTGAGACAAAGAGAGAGAGACTGAATGAATGACATAAAGAAAGGAAGAGAGAGAGAAAGGGAAAACATTATAGGAGGAATGTGTACTGTTTAGTTGGTTGAGTGGATGAGTAAATGAGCGTGGGTTTATTGTGGTTTGTATAAAGCAGTAAGTGTGTGGGTTCAGGAGACAGATTCGCGTGGGAAAGACAAAAGTAAAAAAAAAAATTACAGACAGAAAAGGAATCCTCTTTGATTTACAAATTTTAATATTTTTAAAAAATTTTTATATATTTTTAAGCCGTTTTTTTATATATTTAAATGTATGTGAAATTATTTATATAATTATGAAGTATTATTTTTAAGTAAATTATTTTACATTTAATTTTGATTTATGCTATCTTTGCCGTACATTGATACTATGTAGATATAAATAAACTGTCGATATAGAAAGTTAAATCCAAGAAAAGAAACACCCCTTCACGGCAGAAATTTACCCTGTAGAAAGCCCAGCTGGTGTGGAATATATTGTAATATATAAATGCTTAAATGCTGTAGGGGGCGGATAAAAAATATGAAAAAAAGCAGAAGAAAAAGGGGGCGGAACATTTATTAATTTTCTGCGAGGCTCGCATTTAGAAAGGACATATGTCATTTGCATGTTTTTATATGCAAATCTCACAGGATTTAGCCGTATTTTTAATCCCGGCCGGTGTCCCTTGCGTTCATTACTGTATATCACCTCATGTAGGTGGTAAATAATACCTGTATTTCCTTGAAACATCCTCTTGACGTTTCTATAAGCAAGGCTGGCTATTTGTGTAATATAGGTGGGCCATAATCTCTCGACTTGTCAGAAAATAATGAAACCCTCTAGAAGCGTACTAAAGTTATTAAAGTTGTATTTTCCTAAACAAGTCGAAAACGATCACACACTTTATTTCATTAAACGAAACAATGTAAAATGGCCTGAAATTATTATTTGCAGATCGTGAGATGGGGTTGTTGTGCCGTAGGTCAGAAAAACATTTTCTTTATAGTGCCAACGTTTCGAGCTCATAGTGTTTGTTTTCTGTGTAGATGTGTCATTGTTGGTGTCGTGTTGAGAGTGCCATACCATACCGCATCTCACCATCTCCAAATAATCATTAATTAATCGTCACTAAACGTACAATATCGACATTAAATTAAAAACGTTCATACAAAGGAAAAACCTACGCATTAAGAAATCTGTAAATTAAGCATTAAGAGGTTCCCGGTCAATAGTGCCTTTTGGAAGGAAAGGATAATATATGTCAACTTAAATATAACATGCCATGTGTTCTCACAATGAAAATTTTTCTGGCTCGTATGGGCACCTTAAAAAACTCCCTTAAAATGTAGCCGAAAGTCAGCGAGAAGAAGGCTTACATGGCGTTTAAATCTCTGCACACCTAAATTTGTATAAAGATGTACACTCTGTATTAATTAATTTTAAGACAGACAACCTTTGTGGTTTTATTTTATTAGATATTCAGTGTTTATTCAAAATGAGATGCGAGGTCATTTTGACAAGGACAGAGACAAGGAGAGAATGGTTTGTGGACATTATGTAATTCACGAAACCAGGAGAGTGTCCTCCTCTTTTGGGCAGAATGTACTATACTTAGTAAAAGTAGTTGATTACTCTTGGTTTATTTTTACCGTTACAAGATAAACACTAGTAGATAGACTAGTGGAAACAGTGTAAGTATTCGAGCTGTCATACTGTACGCGTATCAGGCCTGCCTGTATAAGAAGTTGTGCAGGAATTTAATTGCTAATAACGTTAAAAAATAAAGTATTTACTCCTCTCATAGAAGTTAAGTTATGTGATTTAAGTTTCTGTGTCTTGTATGAGTGAATGTATTTATCGGTGTGAATGGGGAGGGGCTGATGGTGAATTGCATTTCCATCGCCCCTCATATTGCGTCCGTGACTTGGATCTACGGCGGAAAACTTTTAAAGTACCCCATCGACCCCAATTTAGATTAATGCACTGTAGTGAACAGGTAGATGGAGGAATATCGTGTACTCCATCTACCAAACCAGATGAGTGAGATCAATGTATGTTGGTGTGAATGTATTTATTGGTGTGAAAGGGGAGAGGCTGATGGTGAAGTAGCATCTCCATCGCCTTTCATGTTCCTTGCGTGACTTGGGTCTACGGCGGAAAACTTTTAAAGTACCCCATCGACCCCAAATTAGATTAGTTTATTGTAGTGTACAGGTAGATGGAGGAATATCGAGTACTCTACTCCAACTACCAAACAGAATGAGTGTGATAAATGAACGGTGGTTTGAATGGGGAGAGGCTGATGTTGAAGTAGCATCTCCATCGCCTTTTATGTTCCTTGCGTGACATGGGTCTACGGCGGAAAACGTTTAAAGTACCACATCAACCCCAAATTAGCTTAGTGCATTGTAGTGAACAGGTAGATGGAGAAATATCGAGTACTCCATCTACCAAACAGTATGAGTGCGATCAATGTATATAGGTATGAATGTATTTATTCGTGTGATGGTGTATAGAGTGTGTAGCGGTACTTTGCTAGTGCTTCGGGGCTGAAATTACCAAGCTGTCGGATACCCCGTCACAAAAAACATTATCCTCTCCTCAAAATGCTAATTTTTATACCCCCCATTCGTGTAAAGGTTCGAATTTAAGTGTAATATCGTTAGTAAAATTTAGTTCCTTGTGGTTTTTCTTAATTAATTAGGTTATGCATGTGTTTTATTATTATTATTTATTACAATTAATTAAGGTTTTTAGTTGAGATGAAAAAAAGTTAATGGCACGAGAGGGATTCGAACCCACGACCTTCGGCTAGATACGTCGCTGTTCTACCACCTGAGCTATCGTGACCTCGATCCACTCGGACATCAACTCCCCATCTCAACC